GGGTAAATGTGATGAAGTGCTCTCTAAGGTACCTTTTCAATGGGGTAAATGTGATGCAGTTCCCTCTAGGGTGCCATAACAGTGGAGGAAATCTATAGTTCACTCTAACATGGCCTTCAAATTGAGAAAACATGGTGCCATATAGGCTGCCCTACATGAAAACATTCTGTGAGCTAGTGCCCCACCTCATGCAGCTGGTGCCTTTTTTATATTTTTCGCCCCTGCCCCTCAGACAGCCTGAGTATCAGGGTTATTTACAGCTGTGATGTTCAGATGCTCAAGACAAACTGACATGACTTCATTATTCTGTCACCTCCATCCAGCAATACCACCACATTCATTTCAAAGAGCAGAAACGTTATTTTCCATTACATATTATTGAAAACAAAACAAGCCTAGCCTTGTTCCAAGGCTTTTTCCCCTCTTTTTTTGAGGCTTTGCTTTAGATATTTATAGTTCATTAGTTCACACATCAACGTGAGTGGAAAAGTCTTGAGGTTTATTTATTCTCAGAGTGTCCTGCTCCTCATGTGAACCAACAGAGGAGAGAGACAGTGGACCATGAAAGAGCTTCCATGTTAGACAGAAAATCATGATGTGTTGATGCCAAAACATGGTTGCCCATGCAGCATGCAAGTTTTAATATTCATTTGCTGAACACACATGGAAATAGCACGTTGCACATCAGTTCAAAGTGAGCGTGTTATGCTGGCAACTCAATTAACATACTCCCTTTCCCTGGAGAATCATCCATCACTGCTGATGATCCAAGGTAGCTGCTCTGCTGAGCCAAAATTCTGTTTCCATTTTGAGGGTGTTTCTGCTTTCCAGGCCAGCAGCATTATATCGTCTCGCTATTAGTCCAAAACAGGGTGAAAACAATGGTGAAATGTTTATTGAACAGTGTGGTATTGTTTATTGGCTAATTCCCAGTGTTTTGATGGATTCTGTACAGTAATCCTTGATGGATTGGTTATATTCTGCATGAGTGGGGCAGACTTCTTATAATGTCTTGCTTTAATTGAAGGGATTAGTCTTCACTGTGAGATTCCCAGTATATTATCCAATAGACTATGTAAGTACTCTGAGTGGGAACGACATTTGTGAAGCTGTCTCCAGGATCTGTCACCATCGCTCCATAACAAACAGATGAAAATACGTATTTATTAAAACAATTTATTGTTGGCTATATCATGGCATAGTTGGCATGTTTGCCCGTAACCATTCACTTTGTTGTATTGGTTATTAACATGAACGATTATGAAACAATGGGCCCCTGGCCATAGATATACTATTGGTGCCCCACTCCTCCTATGTAGAAGCAAGACCCACATATTGAAATTTATCTTTTTGTATCTCTTTCTGTTTATTTTGTTTCTATTTGTGGTTGCTTTGCTTCTCTCTTGGTTGTTTTATTTCACTTAGGTGTTTGCAACTCTGATGTTTTTTTGCATTTTTTTTGTGGTCATTTGCATCTCTTAGGGTTGTTCTGTTTCTCTATGTTGTTGTTTTGCGTCTCTTAGTCTCTTTGTGGTCATTCTAAGTCTCTTTAACGTAATTTTGAATATCTTCGTGGTCGTGTTGTGTCTCTTTGCAGTCATTTTGTGTCTCTTTCTGGTCATTTGGCTTCTCTTTTTGGTCGTTTTCCGTCTCTTTGTAGTTACTTTGTGTGTTTTTGTGGTTACTTTGTCGTCTTTTTGCATCTATTTGTGGTCGTTTCATCGACTTTCCAACATTTAGTTTAAAAAGAGAGGTTTCTGCCGAGAAGGTCCGTACAGTAAACCATCCATGGTTATTAAAGGTAAGATTATGGATTAAATTATGCTTTAGTTACATGTCTTTTGACGAGGTTGTAAATCTTCAACGATTTCATGTATTTGACAGTGTCAGAGTCACCAGCAGAGATGCCCTCGGGAAGAATTTGGAATTCAAATAATCAATCATTATTTTCCTCATTATTCATTATTCATCCACACAAACACACAGGATGACCTTGTGGATTAGCAGATTTTTTTCTGGCTAGCTAAATGTCAATACTTTTCCTTTGTGCTGCAGTTGATTGATTAACAGGAATGTGACTGGATTTTTTCCTAAAGCTTTATTCATTTTACTCTGGAAATACTGATTAGTCTTAACAGTCCTTAAGCGGTGTGTGGGCCAAATGGCCCAAGCTCTGGGTGGATTGTCATGGGACCGAGCCAGTGTTTGCTTGTACTGGAGTTGAATACACGCTGCCAGAAGTTTCCTAATGTTTCTCTCAGCCCCTCTCCCTCAGAGCCACTTTCCCTCATGTTTTATTGGAAATATTGATGGAAGAATCACAACAAATGCAGTTTTGATAGGAAGCACATAGCTGGAAAAGCATGAGGGTATTTTTCAAATTCAGGGCTTCCCCCTCTTTTACTGTCTGTGTCTGTTTTGGCGTCTGGCAGCTGTTGGCAGTACTCCTCATGCAAAGTTCCACTATTTCATTTAATGCTGACATATGAGACAAGGACTTGCTGTGGAGAGTATAGTACAAGCCATATCCCAGGCTGAAAGTCCATAGATTTAAGCCTCAAAGAGTAATGGAGGTTTAGGTCTCCATAGCCTCATTTGTGATTTCCACTGCATAAAAATGAACGAAGCAGAGTGTGGAAATATAATTGAATTCATAAATATGCTTTTAATTCTGTTTTGATTTAAGAAGGGCTTTACTCATTGAATTAAAACACACTGAAAACAGTAAAAACAGAACCACAAGGTAATAGAAACAGGCTAAATTCACAGCTCACAATTTATCATCCAAGACTGTACTGGTGTGGTTATTTATTGTTTTTACAAGTGCATTGGCCAACTGTCGGTCATAAGTCACACTTCTGGCCCAGCTGCGCTCATTTGAGTTATCTGATGATGATTAGCATGCCTGTTAGAAACTGGCTAATTGCTAGCATGCCCGGTTCTTGGCATAGCAGAGCCAAGAGAAATATAAGCGAATTCATCCATTCTTTGTACTTGTGCTGCTTGTCAGTTCAATAGTTATGCTTTTTTTTATATGCCTCACAGAGACTTGGTTCATACACACACATATATATTATATATATTAATATGAGTCAGCAGTAATTACAGCCAATAATGTTTGAATTTGTTTGGAATTTCAACAATTACATGGCATAAACCTTTTTCATAGTAATAACTACTACACCACGCAAGTACCTTAATCACAATTTTTAACAGGTTTTTTTATTATTATAATTGGCGTGTTCCCCTTGACCTTTGCTTTTAGTGACCTCAGCAAGCTTGGAAAAGCAGAAACAAAATATGCCAGGATAAAAATCTTTTACCACTTTTCAAACGAACAAACAAATTACTTTTTTGTCAAGTTGCTCTCTCTGCTATGTCTGACCTCAGAACACATCAAGTTGGCTTTGATTTATTACAACCCACCCTTTGATGCCTGTCCTCATCCAATATCTGTCCCCAGGCTCTACGAAAGTCAGTTCTGGCACAAAATGTGCAATTTCTTGAAAAGTGATGTCAACGTGTGTGTGTGTGTGTGTGAGAGAGAGAGAGAGAGAGAGAGGCAGAAAGAAACACAAAAAAGCATTACATCATACCATTTTCTTGTCAAATAAACACAAGCTCAAGTTGACCTGAAGTTTTAATAACGGTTGTTCACAGATTTTGATTTAAAATAACAATATTGTATTTCAAAAGTCAATTCTGAGCACAGACATATATATTGAACAACCCATATAAAAGCTTTAATGTATGCAGTTTATAATGCTTTTATGTGGCAGATCCTTAATGTGTTTACTCTCTATAAAAGTAATGTTCTTATCCGGTTAGAAAGCCCACATTAAAAAATGTGTTATTAGACACTTCTATTTTTGTGCTCACTTAATAAAATCCCCATTATTACCTTCCAGTAAAACATACACCTCAGCAGAACATGGACTCCTTGAGTGGAAGTGTGAGGTGATGGAGAACAGAAGTGTTGTAAAATAGAAACACTTTGTGTAAATCTGTGAAGTCATCCTACAAGCTTTTCATTCTGCTTTCACAAAACAAGACTGGAATGAAAAGAAGATAAAGAAGTTTTTCTGAGGGTTGCTTGTGCTACAATCTTGTCATTTTTGAGCAGTATTTCCGTCTTTTTTTATTACTTTTTTATGTATTTTCAATTCCTGGTTGCTGTCTGTAAGGATTCACCCTCTCTCTGACCGAAAGCTTGGTTTGATCTTTAAATACTTACACTGGCATGAAGTGTGAAGAAACTTTTGGGCCTTCTTGCACTTTACTGTGTCCTAAATGAAATTCTCAAACTCACCGTTTAATGAAACACTTGTGTCCTCTCCTGCCTCCACAGTGAGACGTCAGAACATGAAAGTCCGCATCAACGCCACAGGCGACACCATCGTGATGAAGTTTTTGAGTCCCAACGCTGACACCAAGCTCGAGGGTTACATCCTGGGCTACGGCAGCAGCATGTTCTCCAAACAGTTCATTCGGCTGCCTGAGAACGGACAGCCGTATGAGACTGAGTTTGGTAAGAAAGGCTGGTGATATGTGTGTGTTTCCACCTTGAGATGAGGAACAGCCTGCTATGATGCAAATGTGAATCGCATTTTGACCTCTTAATTCATGGAGAGAGCTGAGAGAATAACCTCTATGTATCTTCTGTGTTTAGATGCTGAGCCCAAGTACCTTATCGCCATTCAGCCCATCCCATCCAATGAGGTGAAAAAGCAGTGCAAAGGTAATTCTACCGCAATAATATCATAGGAATTGATTATTATCAAGGTGACATGGTAAAAGTGAGCATTGAGGGTGGACGTGAAGGTTAAAGTAAAATGTGCATTTTTTTCTCAGGTAAAGTGGAACTGCAGAAGCCTCTTCACCTGGTCATTGGGTCAGTAACGCCCACCTCAGTGATACTGTCTTGGGGGACCCTGCTGAAAACTCCCTATGAAGGCAACGTCATGAATGACTGTCTTGATGATGGGTGAGCTTACACACTAACACACATTTTCAAGAACTTAATTTTCATGCCACAGAGCAGGGAAACAAAACAGGACGTTACCATGGATTCAATTAGCTTGTTTGCTGTATGATACAACTTCAGCCCCTGTATTTGTTTGCATTTGGGGAATTTGCCTCCACTAAAAGAATGCAAAATTAGCTATTGACATTTCCTGTTTGCAATGTATCCATGTATGGACAGACATCTGTCACAGTATTACTTCAATACTGAAGAAAATGCGGTGATTCTCAGGCAAGTTCTGGAGTACGGAATATGATTTCTATGATTTCTAAACAGATTTATGGATGTTTTTTTTTTGCGACATGCATCGGATGACATTAGATTATGATATCCTCAGGAAGTGTAACTGGATGTAAAAATATGTATGTCATGTCTGTTCAGAAGAGTTATGACTCAGAGGAAGAGGATTTGGACGCAGTTGTTTTTGCTTCAATCTGGGCGCTGAGGGTTTTTAAGTACCTAAATTGTCTTCTCAAGACAGAGTTAGCGGATTGTAATTGGTTCCAGGGTTGCCAGGTCTGTGTAACAAAACCACCCCAATGGTTAATCAAAACCAGCCCGATAGCAGAACTCAAACCATATACACATACTTTAAAGTCTAACAGCATTGCTGCATTGTAATATCTACAAAGTAACACCGTAAATGTTCAGTTTGCCAGCATGACATTCAGTTTTCCCTGAACAGTTATTTCAACTATGTATGTGGATGTCGGCTTATGACGTGGTCCATGTGTGTGCATGCTGATCTGTATTCAGTTTGGTAGGATTTGGGTATGTATTCATAATTGTATTTGCTTGCAAAATAGGTCTGCCCAACCAATGGACAGAAAATGCAACCCGTGTCAATACTTCGAAAGTAGCCCAATAGGACCTGGCAACACTGAATGTTTCTGTGTCTTATGCTTTTTAATGATCCGAATACTTCTTTCACCACTGCCGAGCATGAATTGAAACCCTCTACTGCCACGGAGCAAAGATAGAGAGGCCGATGGTACAGATGCAAAGGTGTACTGAAAAAAAGAGAATCACACTAATGCATGGAGATTCAGTTTTCAGCCTTTTCATGTGATGTATTGTAGTTTAGGTAAGCATAGAAAAAGATAACTGTCCTCTTTCTACACACACACACACACAAACACACAGGTATTTGTTGCAGAGACTCTGGTATAACTGCATAAACAGTAAATTATTCCCTGAAGTCTCTCAAGTAACTGACCAGTGGATCCAAGACAGGTGTTTAAGAGTCCACCCACACATCATGTGAACACAATTTTCCTCCTATCAAATATATTAAAAAAGCTGTTTTGGAAGCGTTTGATAGAACAGATCTTACTCTGCTTTTTGGAACAAATCTCTTCTTGGTTTTATGTCTAATATTAGTTTCATATGTGTCTTCTGAATGAAAGGATAGAAGCATGCATCGGCCCTTCTGTAGAGTAGCAATTTTCTGTCACAGCATCAAAACATTGAATCCTGACTGTGCAGTTCATGCAGGAATGTACAGTGTTAAACTGCATTGGAAAATACATTTTTCTTGAAACGAGCCTAAACTAAGATCAAACCCCTGCAGTTATTAGAACATCGTCAGCATTGAATAAGACAAGACAATGAGATTTTATGGTATCTGAATGTACTAAGCAGTTCGACTCTGACATTTGTACTTCTAGATTTTCTTTCATCAGGATGTCGTGGTTATATATGATTTCCTGATTTAACTTTGTGTTCTGTTTTTGCTCCGTCTTCCGCTCAGACACTACACGGTGCGTTATCGTGAGAGGAGCAGGAAGTGGAACTACCAAACCTGCCCAACTAGCGATACGGTCATTGACAACCTGAGGCCCAATGCAGTCTATGAGTTTGGTGTTCAGCCCAACTCTAAGGATGGCACTGGAGTGTGGAGCAGGCCGGTCATCCACAACATCAGCTCAGGGGGCGTAGACGGTATGTGTGATGTCAGCATTTCACAGGATATTGTCCCTCTCACTCCAGCAGTGCTGCAGATGTTGCAAATAGACAACAAACAAGTACCTTTAAAAGTGAATCAACAAAGATCCATGTAGTGTTAGTAATGTCAGTCATAATGACATATATAGGTTTAAATAGGTAGCTCCATAGGTATGTATAAATCTGTGCAATCACTCATTTAGAGCTCATTTGCTAATTTGGCAGTGTTTTCTACATAATGGCAGCAGGAGATACTAACCAGTCAAAACTATATTGTGCTTAACATTCAAGCCACTTCTGAGGAACTCTCTCGTGATTCTTGATTCTTCCAAGATGAAAGGCATCTTGAGGAAAGCGTTTGGTTGTGAAATGTGGTTTTGCTCATTTTCTTTGAGTTCCACTGCGCTGATACCTTTACTGATTTTTATCTTGTGTCATATTTCTAGAGAAAGCCATCAGGAAAATCTTTAAGCGTCCCGTCAACCCTGTGGTATGTACTGGACACACTTAATTCCTTATCCAAGTTTAACCTAAGCAGCAGAACTAATATGAATCTGTTTGCGGTATATTTTCTCGTATTGTATAAATAGGTGAAATGAAATCAGTGTGAGAGTAAGCTAATGAGACTTCACAGGTACACCTCTTCTCCTCAAAATAAATATATTTGGGAACAGGGTGTTTATCTGGAACAGGCAAAATGCTTAAGAGTCCATGATGTGCACTTCTGTGAGCTTATGCTATTCTCAGGCTTGTTTGCCTCATTAGTTTTCCATCCAACTGCTGAATGGAAACAGCACCAGTGCAGCCAGGACCAGCCATGCCAAGAGAGCAGTCTGTAGCTAGCAAACTTCTGCAGAGGAATAAAGCAGAGAGATAAAGGAGACGAGAAGACAAGACAGAAGAGGAAGGGTAACAATGTGGAAATGAGTTGAGACGAGTAAGATACCACTGATTTACTGACAGTGGAGGGATAATGTGCCATGCTCCTGGCTCCGCACTCGTAAAACATCACAGCTGTTGAGAATCAGCCACGACACTTGACCTACCAGAGGGAAACGTCTATAACAGGCTTGTCAGCAGGACTTTACCAATTTGACATGGAGTAGAAAGCCTGAGACTTAATAGAACACAGACATAGAGATGGCATTGAGTTCAATGCTAACCCTTTGACTTGTTGTGATCATTACAAAGACTAATGACCAATTCTTCCCCTTGTCTTTCTGTCTTTCACCCTTCAGAAACCTTTAACGCCAGGTCCACACTCCTTCCCTTTTTCTCCACGCCATGGTAAGCCAATAGACACATGCTGCTTTTGGTCAAACCCACTAATCCTGTTTTTATAGAGCAGCAGAATGTTTATAAAATACTATGATTCTCACTGATCCCTGCTTTAACACTCAGCACTTGAAGAATTTTAACTTGAACTTTTGATTGATCGCTTTTTTTCAGACAGGACCTCACGCCAACTGTGTGTCCATGATGATGGGTTTAGCAAAAAATGCCAATAAACTCAACCCAGTCTACCACAAATTATGTTCCTTTTTAGTTTTCATTAATGAGTCAACCTGCATTGCCGACCTTTAAATGTGGCTCTAATCAATATTGTTTATTTAAGAAAAAACCTAATTACTATGTGTAGTGTGAAATAAGATTTTTTGTGATCATTATCAACTGTGGTTTGAGCATCTATCATCTGAGAATTTCAACATTTAGGCACACAACTTAAACTGTTTTGATTTTCTCTCACTGTTCATGTCAGTGTCATTTTCGACCACAGCAGGAAGCTGTTTTCCGCAACAACAACAAAAAGCTCAGAAACCCGCTGTACACTGCTTGTACAGCACCAAACAGCAGACTCATAAAGTTAACGTCTATCTCGTGAACATAGTATTTAGCAGCTAAGGAGTCAGATATTTCCCTCAGTAGTTGGAGAAGGCCAACAAACAGAGCTTAAATGAGAATGAATAGTATTTGAATAGGTGCATGAACATAATTCCTCTACACAACTCTTTTTTTTCCCCAGGATTATATGAGGACATCTTATGTGTGACACCTTGACTTAAATCTCTTCTCCCATGTCAGTTTTCCATAACAGGACCCAGGGCAAGCTACCTCTTTTGCGGAACATAGCCCCAAAGACAACTCTTGGTAATTACTTTTCTGACCTAAAGCTCAGAGTTCAGAGGTCAGAAAAACACTCTTGACCTTATGTCTGACCATTCTACATGTCTTCTCCCTCACTATCCTGCTCATTGTTTATTGCACATACACCATTTTTTTTTGAACATTCTGCAGGACATACATTATTAACTTTTCTCCCAGGTCTACTAATGAACACTATATTTCTCAGCTCCCACCACAACTACACAGGAATCTCTGTCGACCCCGGGACCCACACTGCCTGTGGCCACCAAACAGCCAATCGGTAAACAGTGAATCATGGTTCATTTTTAAAACAGCTGTATGGCTCTCATTCAGGCTGTGTGCAGTCATAGTTTTGGCAGACTGTAATTGAATAGGCGATAAATGCTTTACAGTGCCCTTTGTAATTAGCTGCATGATTAAGAATAGCATGTTCTGATTGAGTGCAGTGGCGAGAACCTCCTTCTGCAAACCACTGTGTCAGCCTCGGCTGCATGATATTTTAGCAAAGCAACATAGCTTGCAGGGATTCTTAATGATTTCTAGGTTCTGTTGTTAATGCAAAGTTGTTTTTAAAGTTACTGATTTGCAAAATATAATCTACAGAACTTTATCCAAGAACTGTGTAAGGTGCCAGCTCATTCGTCAGGAAAAAATTGTCCATTACTGCAAACCATGGATACGTTGAATGTTGGCGTTTTTGCATTCGTCAAAGGAAGTGACGAAGTACGAGCGACGCGTAGAGCAAGTGACAGAGCGAGTGACAGAGCGAAAGTTACATTGTAAGATATCGAATATAATAAGCAAGAAATTTTGGCAATCGGGCAGGCGTGAAGGGTGGTGGATGGGTCAAACAAACACGACCTTCACCCAGATCGTTGTTCCTGTCGACTTTAAACCAAATATAAACATTGACTTTACATTTGTTACGCTATGATGCTACCCCTGTTACGTAACATTACATAAGAAAGTCTGGTAAGAGCATTTATTTATTTACGCTTTATGTTGTTACTGTTGTCACGTTGTTATGTTAATACAAACTATGATCTTTCTATAACCTTAACCAAGTAGTTGTTGTAACAAATTGTTTCACAATGAAATTGTTACACATGAAACCTTAATTATAAAATGTTTTTTTTGGTTCATAAATGTCGACATTCAACACATGCCGTGGTTTGCAGAAGCGTTCAATGTTAACATTTTTGTCTTGCGACTGGGTTGTTGGTCAAACAGTCAAACAAGTCATTTAAAATCAGTCCTTTCTAAAACATACAGACTGTAATTCTTGTCTGTTTCTCTCTTCTTTGGCATTTGTAAATCCATAATTATCAACTCAACGTCGCATCAGCTCATTATATTATATAAATTAATATGTTGTGCTGTATTTACAGTATGATTATTCATCACCATTTTTGCTGGTTACAAACCTGAGGCTTTTGCTTTCAATGCAGGGCAGGGGATGTGAAGTCTGCATGATTGAACTGCATGCACCAGACATTCCTCTCTCCAGCAGGAATAGCCTACTTTTCATCTTCTACTTCTCTTATATTACCCTGTCCTTCTGTGTTCCCTTCTCCGGCATTTATCTTTAATTATATTTGCAGGTAAATGTATTTTTAGTAAATTGAAGGTTTTGTCATACAAATGCTATGTCACAAATTTGGGCCTGGATGTATCCAACAACCAACCTGGATGCATCCAACAACCAATTAGACCTGTTCAATTTCAAAGGCTCCTTCAAATGTAGCCTGGATTTGAAGGATGCAACTGTAGCATTATTTGCAACCCTCATTATCTCACAAATTATTTTGCACCAGTCAGTTATAGCTTTCATAGGTTGATTTGGAGGATCCAGTTCCTGTTGAGACACAGATACAGTTTACATTTCTTTTGATATACAGGAGGCAATTCAAGGAAATAATCATTTGGTCAATGTTCCCTGTGTTTGGTTGGTTGGCTAATTCCACTGAATTGACCAACAACCCCCATAAACACAGGTATTTTAAAGCTTTAATTGTCATAAAGTTGAGATGCAGCACTAAATGTTGCAAATGTCATGTTATCTATTGGTTTCTTTGCCTTCCTGCTGATTTTTTCCCCTCTCTCTATTTTCTGACTTCCCTTGACATCTGATAAGATTGAACATTTCATTTAGAATGGCTCATCAAAATCCCACAGCAAGCAATGAGTCAGCAACTAATATACCCTCATGTGACATAGGCTCTTGGAGGCACAGCCAATGGATTTGGATAGCTGTCGCTCACAGGCGTCCTAGCCCTGGTAGCTTAGTCTGTCTGTAGTAACACCGCTGTTACATTTCAAATACCTCCATATGGTCTGTCTGCCTTTGAAATTGGACCCACTCATATCAGACATGAGCCAGGTAGAAGTTATTATGTAACCTTTGCTTTAGCTCTGTGAATTCTTAGGCCAGTAGCTGTACATCTGCTAATCTAAACTTCAGCTGATCCCTGACTGCCTTTATGTCCGTATTTCATCATTTTCTAGACAATAAAATAACATATTTTAATATTTAATTTAGTGAAAGAATATTATATTTTAAAATTGTATTTTCCAGAACAGTATGGAGGCTTCATGGCTATATTTTCTCTCTCATACAACCCAGGAGGAGGATACCTCGCTACATCTGTGTTTCCTCCTTTAATAGAGGTCACGTTAGCTCCCAAGTCCCGTCTTCCACTACAAATTACAGCCACCATTGCATCTGTGCCAGTTCCTCAGCAAAATGTAAAGGAACATGGAGAGCATCCACTGAGTCAACGACGACAAAAGCCCCCGTCCCAACCTCATGCACAACCTCGGCCACCACCACAACCTAATTCCCAAACTCAAAAACCTCAACTGAAGCCATGGGTGAATGCTCCCCCTCAACCACAACCTCAACCAAAACCCCTTCTCCAGACCCATCCACAACCCCAACCAAC